GAACATTGTTAGCTAAAGTATTCCAAATGCCACAACCAGCCAAGCCATAGCCACTTCTATTCAAATTAAGCTGTTATGCATACTCCCTCTAATTTCTGTAATGCTTGGGGATTCTTACACCAGAGTGCTCTCTTAGATAATCAGCAGCCAGTAATGAGACAGGTTTATTACTATTACCTGTCATTTAGCAGCTTTCCTTTGCTGCTTCTGTGCATTATCTCCATTGTAATGAAGTCTGCTTAGAAGAATTTTCAGGAAGACATTTTACTAAGATTTATATACAATATATGTTTCATCAGCAGCAAGACTTTCCTTTATGGCAGAGATCTTACAAAGCTTATTGCTCAATCTGTCTTGGGTTTATTTATTTATTTGTCTTATCATTAGAGTAGCATGGCTTTAAACATGGATGCATTTGAGAGTCAAATAAGCCATGAATGAACATACTGCCAAGATAGCAAAATAAACCCAATTAAAATAAATTCTAGGTATGCAACATTGCCAACAGACCTAACATCACCATTCTAATCACCTAGGGATACCAATATAATGTTTCTAAAGAAATGTGGAGACCATTACAGGCCCAGTTTGATCTAAAGAAATGTGGAGACCATTACAGGCCCCTAATAGGCAATCATTTTTCTACAATGAAGAAAAGTATTCATAACTGACTAGGTGGTGACTATTTCATAAAATCATAACATTGGAAAAGTGATCACTTAATCCAGCCCCTATTCAGTGCATTTTCCAGTATTGTAACCCTGACAGAAAATCATATGTGACATGTAAAAAAGAAGAAATAATTATTCCTGTAAAAGAAAAATGTAAAATGATCAACATATTTCTCTTCTATATGTTTCTCTTCTATACAACCTTAAAAACCCCAGTAAAATATTAACACAGAAGTGCTGATGAGATGAAATCCATTTAGCATAAGTTTAAGCAAAAGTCGATTTGAAGATAGTTGTCATGCTGACCCAGAAGAGAAACCAGTTAGTGTAAACAGAGCAGGATGTAGCAACTGTTGAACAAATAAGTAAATGATTAATTGTTAAGCATGTCACTATAGTTACATTGTGAACCCAGGCATACTTTTAAAAATCATCCTAGGATCATCCGATATTAATTTCAACAATGTTAGCTAATGTGGCAGCAGAGAAGGTGGGAGATGGTGGATCTTGATGTGTATAAAATATGTAAAATTGTCTATTTAATTGCCCTTGGTGCCTCTGCCCAGAAGAGGACTAAGTGCCGTCTTTTGCGCAAAAGTCAATAAATCCTGGACTTGTTCACAGTGTCTCCTATCTGTTGTTTTAGCTGAGACTTTGGATTCTCACACCATCTAATATCTGTTTGGATATCTGTTGTGAAGAAGAACTTCGTGTGGCTTCACCTGATCCACTGTTTGATAGCTCATAATCAGGAAGCATAGGATCATAAGTTTCTAGCCTCGAACTACTTCTTTGTAGTTTTAATACATAGATTCTGATACTGCATTCTGGGATAATAACTTCATTCCCTCTTCTATGTGACTGTCTCTTAGATATTTGAATCTCCATTGTCTCTTCTGTTGACTTAACATACCCAGATCCTTTCATTGTTTGTCATACAGTACATATGGTTTGATTTCCAGATCATTCACCATTTTATTAGCCTTCTGAACTTGTTCCATTTTTATCTTCTTCAAAGTGGTAGACACAGTATTTCAATTGGGATTTGACCAGAGCAAGGTGCTCTGTGCTCTAGACTCTATGCTCCTATTAGCATAGTTAAGATGTTATTTCCCTTTTTTAGCAGCTCCATGTTAGCTTATATTTACCATGTGGTCAACAATGACACCCAGATCTTCTTCACATGTACTACTGTCAAGCCATAACTCTCTAATTATATAGTTGTGCCTTTCATTTTACCTATTAAGATGCAGAACATTTCATTTCACCTTATTTCCATCTTTCTCTTTTCAATGCCTGCTCAAGGCTATTTAGGTTTAAAAAAAAAAAAAAAACTTCACTGTCTCCTTTAAAGTATTAGTTACAGTTCCAGCTCTGTGTCATATGGAAATTTGCTAACTATGTAATCAATAAGTTGTTTGAGATTTCCTGTCAGCCTAGGGACCTCATGGCTAGATGGCAGGAAAACAAATGTTATTCTCTCTCTCTTCCTCCCACTCCCCGTCCCTCTCTCCTCCCTCCCATCTCTCCCCCCTGTGTGTTTTAATTGTAAAAGTGTAGCTTACTCTATAACATGAATACCTCCTGTGGGATGGGAAATTCCAAATCCTTTGAAATCACCTATCCCTTTACTGCAAAATCTCCCCCTGCTTGTTAAACAAAATAATCAAAGAAGCTGGTCATTCTTCTTCTCCTCTTCCAATCTGGACAAGGAAGATGAAGTTTCTTCTTTTTTATCTAACAAAAGAGCTGGTAAAAATGTCCCCACCTTGTGCAAAGTGATCTTTAGCTGGATGGAAGGTAGCTATTATTTTAAAAATGATAAAAGCAGCAAAGTGGTGACATGCGGCTTTTGTCACTGAATTAGAATCCAAGATCATTTATGGTGATGATTTTAAGTGAATGTTGTTTGTGGAAAGATTTCCTTACATGACATGTCATTTCAGCCTTACAACTTTTTAATATGGTCTGGCATTTTTTTGTGTGTTCAGGAAACAGAGGTCAACAAGTCATGAGAGCTGACAGATATCAGGAATATGTTTTAGTACACAGTAAACAAAATCTAAGAGTCAGTGAACAGTGTTAGCAAAAGCTGTTGACAGGGCTTAGAAGCCTAAAAGTGTGCTATAATAAATGTGATCTGGTTAGCTGGTTTCCTTAAGAGAACCAAAAAATTCTCTGGAAAATTTGGAATGGAAAAATTCACTGAAGCTGAAGAATATGATTCATTTCTCCCTCTCTCCCTCAAGTCATGAATCTGAATGGAACGGAACAGAACCATTTTAGAAGAGGAGAAAGTGCTTGTGAATAGGGACAGAAATAAAAAAAAAAGACTGAAAGATTAAAGCTCTTAGTGGGTGCAAGTTTTCTTTGCAGACCTAATATGAAACAGTTCATTTGCTGCTTGAAGGTGACAGCAATAGGCACAGAAGAGCTGATATCATGTCCGGGGAGGGGATCATTTGGTGAGAACTTTCCACCAGCAGTAAAGTCTTTCATATCACCTAGGGATGAATTGTAGTAACTCAATACTTCCAGAAAACTGCTGGTCAAAATAGCTACATCCCACATAGTCTTCTTTATCCATTGTCTTTTCCTTGATTTCCATTACCTTTAAAACAGTACGAATTATTATGGATTGTATTACAACCCAGACAGGTGCATTATAATTCCACCTTATGGAGAGCCATTTCAGTCTAACTGCAAACAGTAGAATTGTCTAGACGGAATACAGTGGGAGTATGACTACTCTAAGGCAAAATTGGTAGTCCTCTGAGTAAAGCTCCAAATCCTTGTACAACAAGATACTAAACTGCTTTCCTGAGCGCTCCAGTCTTTTCAGGTTCTCCCAAATGCATCAGCCAACCCTGAGGGCATCACTTGGGCATTGCATATTGCTATGAAATGCAGCAATGCTGCTATCCCTTGCAGCTACACCATTTGTTTTCCCTTGGCCATTGTTGGCAGATAGAAGGTTAACCAAAGTCCCTTAAAATGTTGTGCCGCCAGCCTTGGCCTCAAGTTGTTTCACAGCATGTGATCTACATACCACATGCAAATCTTGTTTAATTAAACCATTGACTCACAGAGCTTGGAACACATCATATGCTGCTGATTGCTGTTCACGCTGTTACTCCTGGTTCCATAAGGTTAATAGTTTGTTCCTAGTACTACACATTTTAAAGCTTTAGTGCAGCAGTGGACACACTCCAGAGATTCAAAATTTTTAAAAACGAAAGTTGATTATCCCAAAGGTGCTTTTTCAGGAGGCAAATAGACTTTCTTGTTTTTTTCTTTTGAAGACATTTCGCTTCTCATCCAAGAAGCTTCTTCAGCCCTGACAGAATAGTGGGGAATGGAAATATTGGTTATTTTGTCATATATAGTATTAAGTCATGCAAGGTGTTATAGCATAATATAGCTACTGATGAGGAAGTAGCACAGTTGGAAAAATAGAGTGGTTTTTTTTTCAAAAATTTAAATAGCTGGGGATTATAGTACATTTAAAAAAAAAAATACAGATTTCATCTATTTCAGAATGACCACTACAACTTTTGATGGATTTCCTAAACATTTTGAAAATACAGTTTGGGGTGGATGAACTGCTTACTACATTTTTTAAAGTAATAACAAATCAGTGACGAGACCTTTTGAAATGACATGTTTTTTTTTGTTTTTTTTGTTCTTCAAATGGTCTTTGTTGTTCTAAAAGTAGAAAATATGATTCAAATGAAATAAATTGTATCTGCCATTTCTCATTGGTTGCCATGATCAAATCTGATTATCCTAGAGAGAATAATATATGCAACATCATCAGGAAGGTTGATTGCCACTAATAAGGCCCATTGTGTTGCTAATCTCTATGCTTCCACAGACAAGTGAAGGAGCAGTTGAAAATATTGGTTTATTAATATGTGTAGTAAAATTATATTTTGTACATAGGCATGTTCTCTTCACTTGTAATAATTTAGAACATCTTCATCTGTAGATCTAAAGGTGTTAATTAGTAGAAAAGAGACTTATTTTATGCCAATAATTTTTTGAATATCCCTATATGATTTTTTTTTTAAATTCCTCTCTTAAAAAGCAGTTTTCCTGTTATGAATGTGAGCTTTTATGACTCCTAAGATGTTATTTTACAAAGTGCACTTTTATAAACACAAGAAACTAGTTTCAACTATGTGCATGTACAATTTACTTTCACAAAAATCCTTTATTTTTTCCCGTTTTAGCTGACTTTATTCTAGAAGGAAGAAAGAGAAAGGTGATGTCAGATCTGTACAGAGGTAGTATTCAGCCAGTTTGGACTGGTTCTGGTAGTGGAAATTTTGGCCAATTAGGAGAACCAACAAATACCACTTCTGGCTGGCCCCGCCCACCTGTCCCTGCTCTTTCCCATCCTTTATTCCATTGATTTTTAGCTCAGCTGCTTTGTGTGGCAGAGCAGATTGCCACACCTCAGCTGAGTTAGAAAACAACTCAACTCACCAAGGCTGATCTTTGGGTATTGTGCACGCACAGGAGGCCCGAGTTAGGCACGCGTGTCCTTTATTCCACTGATTCTTAAGTCAGCTGATTGGCACAGCAGAGAGGATTGCCGCACCTCAGCTGAGCTAAAAAATAGCTCAGGCAATCCTTGAATGCTGCACAAGGGTGATCTTTGAGTCCTGCGCATGTGCGTGAAGCCCACACAACCAGTAGTGTGCAATTTGGAATCCCACCACTGGATCTATATCAAATTGAGGCTCCTGCTTGCAGGACTGCCAACACCAAGGAAACGAGAGTGTGGCTTTTTTTTTCTTTTTTTTAAACAAATTTTTATTAATTTTTAAAAACAATACACAGACAAACAAAACGTAAGATATAAAAACATAAGACATCTTTTCTGAAAAACAAATAAAACATCTTGTTTAAAGACAGCATAATTCCAAACTATCACATTTCCATACAAGCACAGTTTAATATGCATATTTATCTTATATATTCAACTTCATATCTTTTCCCAACTTCTCTCTATTTCTCCCTTTCCTTCTATTTAATTATATTTCTTTTACCTTGATTTGTATATATTCATTGTAACCATCTGTCTTATTTGCAATTTCATTATTCTCTTCCAACATTCTTCTAGAGTTTTATTAATTCAAACATAGACAAACAAAACACAAAACATAAATACATAAAACTTCTTTTTGGAAAGCGGCTTAACCCCGGGTTACATCTTTTTATACAGACATAAATCAAATTCACGCTCACCTAATATACTATTTCATATCTTATTTAACATTCTATATTTTCTATATATTTTCTCTCTTCTATTCACTCTCTTAATTCTATTTTATTCATTTCATCTCAATTTAGATAGTTATACTTGCATCTTTTGTCCATTCTCTTTCAATTATCTATTTATCTTTTCTTTCTAATACAATATTTCTCCTGTAATCACTGGTTGAAGTATGACAACTTTTTATCTTTCCCCTAAATTTAACACTTAAAAATACATACTTTCCATACTGATTCTGCTTAGTACATTCTAAATACTACATTTTAGAATATTGAGACAAAAAAAGAAAAATAGGCTTATAATATAGTAAAAACAATGTTCCATAGGAAATTAAACTCTATTGTTAAATCTTAAACATTTTTATACATTCCCTTTAATATATTATTAACTCATATAATATTTCAGTTTTCTAACTCGATTTCAAATACTAATATCTAGAATACAGTCTTATGTACTTTTGCAGAATCTCTCTTTTTTTTAAAGATTATATTTTACCCTTTGTCTCTGAAAAAAACCTGTTTTTTAACATCTTGTTTTAAACCTTTATGACTTCTTTTCCCTTTTTCCCTTCCTTTCCTATCAATTCTACCCTTTTTGCCCCCCCATCTCTCAATCTCCACTCTCTTAGTCTCCCCTCTCTGTTGTATTTCTCTTTTCTGTTGCTTTCTGACATTGTATCGATTTTTCACCTTATTTTTCCCTTTCTTGGTTGCTTTTTTAAGTTCTAAATTCTCCATTTTCTTTCCCCCCTTTCTCTTTTCTTCCTCAACTAAGATTATTTGTCCATTAAAGATGGCTTCTTCTTCTCCATCCCAGCTTTCTTGTTGTTGTATTTCCTGGTAGGTGGAAATCGCCATTTCTAAAAAGTAAAAAATAAATCCACAAGAGCCCCTGCCTTCTTGTTCCTTTTCTTTTAGCTTTTGAAATTCCATTTGCAACTCTTCAACAGATAATGCCATTTTTTTTAAACAACCCAAATGTTTTTATTCTTTCAAGAAATAGTTCCCAAAAGTCCCAAAGTCACAAAGCAGTCCAAATCAAGACAAACTATTTCATTAGCACTTTCTTCTTTTTATATTTTCTCTTCCTGGGGTACGATTCAATTACACAGTTCCAAAATAATTTTTAGAAGTCTTATTGCCATTTATTTCTGGTCTTATAAACTCCAAGCAGTCTCCTCCAGTACAATCTTAAAATAAGTTCTTTACCTCTTCCTTCCCACTTATAGCAAAAAGATTTTAATTTTTAATTCCAGTGTTCAGAAATCTTTTATCCCCTTGGCTTTAATTTTCAAGTTTAATTACCTTCTGTGCCCAAGCAGGTTTTTCAGATTTCCATCTGCTATTTCCGTAGGGAAGGAGAGTGAGAGAAAATAACTTTCCCTTTCAGACTTTCTTCCGCCGCTTTACAGTCTTCTTGGGAAACAATGTATCATTCAAGAGATTAAATTTCCAGGATATTTAAAGGTTCCTCGTTGTCCCGGTTCAGCCAGAAACTTTCACTTTCTCTGACTTCCTCCTGCACAATCTTGTCTGGCTGCAGGCTTCTTTGTGGCGGCCATTGCTGACCGCTGCTCCACCGCCTTGGGAAAAGGGAGTTTAACTGGCTGGGGAGGGGGTTTGCGATACCCCCAAGCCCCTACCCGGATCTCCCCTATCTTCGGTTGCCTCTATGGGGCAACCATATCCTCCAAATCCAACTGGATCGGAGGCACTTCGGCGGCGAGCGCAGCAGGAACCGCGCACGATCGTGGATTCCTGCCGCCGCCGAAGCCTTGCAAACCGGAACTCGAGAGTGTGGCTTTTCTGAAGCTACCCTTCTCCTTTGGAATCTACCTAATCAGCACCAACCTTGTTGGTGTTCTAAAAACCCACCGAGGTCTGCATCTTTTGTAGAACCTTTGGAAACTGATGAATTATGATGATGATAGCTGCAGGAAGGATCTATTAACTCTATAAAGCAACTCTCAAGGCTTCAGCTTGAAATACGTTTAGATAAGAAATGGGTAACTGGAAAAGCATAACCTGTATCAGGTTAGGTTATAAGAGAGGAGTTGCATGTTGAGATCTTACCTGTGCAGACATGCACAAAAATGGTGAAACTTGTTTCTGTTAAATTCCACTCTCATTCTACAAGCTGAGGATGATAATACATAGCTTACAACTTTGTAGTGATGACTGACAATTTGTAAAATTATGTTTTAGTTCATTTACCTTACATGTTGATCCTTTTATTCAGTTCAATTCAGTTCAATTCAGTTCATTTATTTCAGTTTTGACCAGCTTAAAATAAAATTGCAATAGCACTTAGACTTATATACCACTTCATAGTGCTTTACAGCCCTCTCTAAGTGGTTTACAGAGCCAGCATATTACCAGCAATCTATATCCTCATTTTACCCACCTGAAAAGGATGCAAGGCTGAGTCAACCTTGAGCTGGTGAGACTCGAACTGCCAAACTGCAGGCAGCTGGCATTCAGCAGAAGTAGCCTGCAGTACTGCATTCTAACCACTGAACCACCACTGCTCAATAGGGTAGACAATACAAAATTAATGCAGTGTTAACTGAAAGTATTAAAAGTGAATAGCCTTAAATACATTTGCCATAAAATAATTGTAAATCAATCCATAAATGAAGTATATAATGGCAAAACAATACATTTTTATATTTGTACAGTAAATTACAGCATAACACTAAAATCCATATATATATATATATATATATATATATATATATATATAT